GAGGAGGGACAGAAGGCACAGGCCCGCCTTGGTGTCATGGTGGCACAGGGCTCCCCAGACCGTGCTTTTAGCTAACGCACGGAGTGTTTATTATGTATGAGGTGCCACTCTGCGTGCTCTATCCATATGATGAAGACAACCTTAGGAAATAAAACCCTACGAATAACTATTCCCCTGTGGTATGGAGGGGGAACGGGAACAGAGGGGTTAAAGGGCAGCATCTGAGATGGCTCCCGTGGCAAGGGGAAAAGCTGGGCTCGAACCCAGCAACCAGGACCTTCAGACACCAGGATTGTAACCACTTGATCACACCGCACTTTGAAGAAGCTGGGAATTGGAGGGTTCTTGCTCTTCCTTCCCACTGAACCCCCCCACTGTGGCCCTCCTCTCCCTGCTTCCTCCGGGCCCACGTACCACTCTTGCTCTGCCCTGACGTCGCTACTTGAAGAATCCAATCTGGGAAGTGGACTGTTGTATTATTAAGGCTGGAGGATTATGTTAGTGGTTGGGGGAGGGGAGATGGGAGGAGGGGAGAAGCCACACCTTGTGAGAGGAAGGTGGGGAGCGGCGGAGACACTGGGAACTGAAGAGGACAGGGCAGGGGTGCTGTTGGTGGGGCTGTGGAGGGGAGGGGGCACGGGCTTCTCAGCCCCATCCTTTCCCTGAGTGGCAGCACCCAACCAGGGGAGGACCTGGCAGGGAGGTTCCTTGCGTTAGGGGTTCTGTGCCTTGTTCAAAGCCGTGTTCCTGACCCCGAGCACAATGCCTGCAGTTTATGCTGGTTCAATGACTGAATAAATGAAAGACTAACTCTGTAATCCAAGCTCTTCCACAAGTTGTTTTTTCCTTGTTTCAGCTCCACACTGAGTGAGTTTCCTTAGTTGCTCATGCATGGATACATTTCCCTTTGTTTGGGCATCTACTCCAGGTGCTAGACTAAAACTCCCCTCCCCATTTTGTGAGCATCCCTGCGAGGACTAACATTGATCGCGTTCGACCTCCCTTGCTCCTTTCCTAGCAGCCTGCATACCGGCCAGCATTTCCCGCCTTGGCACCACAGTCTGGGGCATTGAATGACTTTTGATTTCGCTTGATTAGAAAGCTATGTACTGTCAGTTCTTTATAAGTAATCAGTCTTCCTTAAATTATTTAAAAGCTTACAACTCTGGAGATCCTGAACTCAAAACCCAATAAGCTGGTTAAGCCTGAGATGCCTTTATTAAAACAGCATAATGTTGTGGGCCACATCATATAAATGCTCACTATATACTTCTTAAATGAAAAAGGAGGCACGTGGATCACTATGCAGGGAACTTAAACACCTGTGTGCTCTTACCAGCCCTGCCACTTACTTGCTGTGTGATCTGATAGCAATTCACATAACCATCATAGATGTAAACTATTAAAAAATATTTGCAGGGCACCTGGGTAGCTCAGTGGTTAAGCATCTGACTTCAGCTCAGGTCATGGTCTCATGGTTCGTGAGCTTGCGTCCCACATTGGGCGAGCTCGAGCCCTGCTTCTGGTGAGCCCCACTTCTTTCTCTCCCTCTCTCTCTCTGTCTGCCTCTTCTGGAATTCTGTCTCTTTCTCTGCCCCTCAGTTACATGCACTCTCTCTCTCTCAAAAAAAAATATTTTTGCATTCCGATCCAAAGTTTGTGATAAGGAATTTGGTAGACAGAATGATACCGCCTCCCCAACCCCAGGGAAAAGATGTCCACACCCTAGTCCCCAGAACCTGTGATTATGTTAGTTTTAGAAGGTAAAGGGGAATTAAGGTTGCAGATGTAATTAAGTTTGCTATTCAGATGACCTTAACATAAGATTATTCTGGAGTATTCAAGTAGTGTATCCATTCAATACCTGCTGAACAGATAAATAAAATGTGCTATATCCATGCAATGGAATATTATTCAGCCATAAAAAGGAATGAACCATTGACACATGCTATAACATGGTTGAACCTCAAAGACATGCCAAGGGAAAGAAGCTGGACACAAAAAGTCACATGCATATTACATGATTCCATTTATATGAAATGTGTATAATAAGCAATCCTTAGAGACAGAAAGTAGATTAATGGTTGCCAGAGGCTGGGAGGCAGGAGGAATAGGGAGTGACTGACTACTAATGGGTACGTGGTTTTTGCAAGAGTAGGAAGGGAAGTGATTAAAATGTTCTTAGGTAGTGAAATGCTCGTGCAACTTTGTGAACATACTAAAGATTACTGAATTATACACTTTAAAATGGCAAATTTTATTGTATGTGAATTATCTCAAAACATAATTACCTCAAAACAATTCTTGGGGAGCCTAGGTGACTCAGTTGGTTAAGTGTCCCTCTTGATTTTGGCTCATATCATGATCTCGTGGTTTGTGGGTTCGAGCCCTGTATCGGGCTCTGTGCTGTTAGCACATATTGTTTGGGATTCTCTGTTTTCCTCTGTCCCCTCCCCTGCGTACACCCATTCTCATTCAAAAATAAATGAATAAACTTAAAAAACATAATTCTAGGTTTAGCAAGTCAGGCAATACAGCACTAACTAAAGAAAAAGCTAATCACCTGTGTCCTCATTCCCCTTTCACTCTTACCCTTCCATAATAAAATTTTGATTTGATTAACTTACTCGCAGTCTCTTGCTCTTACAAGCATACATGCAAATAAAAGGGGTTTTGGTCTTTGTTTTTTATCCTTACAAAAATGAGGTCAGTTTATAGACAACTTACTTTCTTAACTTCTCAGGGCTATTTTCCCAAATTAATATACATAAATTTGTATGAAGTTCATATCTTCAATGTTCCATAATTTCTCCCCTCTCCATCTGTTGGTTTAAGAATGGTATCACAATATATCAAAACATCAAGTTGTACATCTTAAATATATACAATTTTTATATGCCTAAGATCTCTCAAATAAAGTTGTTAAAATATATTGAAAAAATGGTATCCCATAAGTCTTATATATGTCTTTTGGTAACCATATAGACAAATTTCTGCTAAGTATGTCTACCTCTGAGTGGAATTGTCAGATCATGAGGTACATATATTTTCACTGTTCGTAGATTGTGTCAGTTTTCCAAAGGGATTGTATAGAGGCATATTTCCACTACTAATACATGAACAACCCAGTTGCTATATATTCTCAGCACTTGGTATTTTCTACTCTTTTATTTTAGCCATGCTAGTGGCTGTGAAGTGGTGTTGCCTTATACTTTTTATTTTGTTATTGTTTAGCTTTTTATTGAAATGTACATGTCATAAGTATATATCTCAGTAAATTTTCATGAACTTGAGCACACCCCTATAACCAATACCCAGATTAAGAAACAGAACATTTCTAGACTGATGTATATCCTATGATCTTGTAATTCTACTCTTCTGTAATTCTACAGAATTGCACTTACATGCTAACCAAAAGACACAGCTCAGTTTTGATAATGGTTACCATTTTGTCACATTCCTCATAAATCTTAATATATTTTGGGGCTCCTGGGTGGCTCAGTCGGTGAAGCATCCGAGTTCGGCTCAGGTCATGATCTCACGGTTCGTGGGTTTGAGTCCCGCATGGGCTCTGTGCTGACAGCTCAGAGCCTGGAGCCTGCTTTGGATTCTGTGTCTCCCTCTCTCTCTGACCCTCCCCTGCTCACACTGTCTCTCTCTCTCTCTCTCTCAGAAATAAATAAAAAACTTTAAAAAAACTTACTATATTTTAAGAGAAGAAATACAGCATTGCAGTTAAAGTTGAAAGCCATTTTGACTTCCAGTCCCAGGCTTGTTAACCACCCATATTCCCCGGCCCTGAGACAGCCCCTCATAGATTGGGTATTTTTATACTTTTCATGGATCTATTTATATTCCTGCATTATCATGACTCCCAAGGAAACTGAGCACTTTCTCATATTTTCTCTTTTATGAATTGCCTTTTCATAAAACTGGCTCATTTTTATTGTGTTGTCTCTTTTTTATTAATTTGTTGAAGTCTTAGTTTATTAAGATATTTGGCATTTTCCATCATTTTTATTGCAAACATTTTTCCTCACCTTTTTGCTTTGGTTATGGTTTCTTTTGCCTTGCAAAAAAAAAAAAACACGATTAACTTTTATGTAGTGGAACATGTCTATTATTTTCCTTTACTTTTTCTGGGTTTCTCATCTTGCTTAAAAAGACTGCCACCCCCCCCCCGAGGTTATACAAATATTCTCTCCTATTTTCTTCTAATGTTTTGTTATTTATTTTATTTTTATTTAGATTTATTTGCAAAGCACCATATTCCAGACACTGCATGGGGCATGTACAAATACCCTGGTACGAATACCCTGGCTTGGGCTGAGAGTTTCCTATGCAGGTCAGGAAGCTAAATGGTAGCCTCTTTTGTTTTCAAACATTTCCTATACAGCTGATGAAAAAGAAATGTTTGTACCACTAAAAATGATCAGTCCAGCAGCTAGGCTAGCATTTGGCATTTTGGTAACAGGAAGTAGAAAAATATTAACCAGGTGAGGATTTTTAATCTATGACTTTTATCTGGTGGTCGTTGCAAAGTGTGGCACTTCTGACAGTATTCTAATTTCTTTCCAGGTAATAACAAGACCCGGGGGGTGAGTGTTGAGAAGAGCTGCCAATAGTTGCCTAAATCTGAATACCAGAGAAAGCCATTTGGGAGGTTTTATATTTCTTTTCCAATGCTGGCTTTCTTTGCTTTCTTCGCATGGGGTCCTCCCTCAAAAGCAATAGCCTTCTAACCAGTGAAGTTGGATGGAGGAAGTGTGGTTGCTAAACAAAACTGTCACTGTCCCCACTACCCAGACTCCTGCAGGGTGCTGGGTCTGCCTTTGCACTTCCGCAGCAAGAACCGACACACACCTTCCACGTTAACTGAAGCACATAACTGGAGCCGGCCTTGCAGAACATGGAATTTGTGCTTAGTTTGTGACGTTGTGGAGAGCTGCGCTAAGTTTCTGAGGCAGTTCCACCCTGGCTCCCTTCCGGTAGGTGAATCCGGCGTCCGCAAACGGGATGTGGACGCAAGACACAGCACTTAACTGAAGTCCCGGGGGAACTGTGTCGGCTCGCCCCCTTCTGGCCAAGTAAGGTCGCATCACGAATGATCCATGCTATTCATGGCAGCTGACGAAGAAGGCACCGGGGGCCCCAGAAATTGCCGCGGGCCGTGAGAAGGGAAAGTTCGTTTGGGGAAAAGATAAAACAGTTAAACTTTCCTTAGCCCATTTTTCGACATTTTGTGGTAGATAAAGCAACAGCCCGCCGAAAACTCCCCCTGAAAGTTTCCCACTTGAGGAGGGAAAAGGGATATTTGGGTTGGGCTTTTCTTCACAGTCATTTAAAATCCTTTCTTGAAGATTTTTTTTTTTTTTTTCCTTTTAAAGATCAGAGGGAAGGCATGTTAGTCAGAGAACCAACAGCTGGACCCGGGCACGTGGTGCCTGGAACTCTGCACCAGATCATCTCTCTCGCTTTGTCCCTTCAGAGAAGATGGCTGCCACAGCTCTACTTTTGCTCCCTGGCTAAGTTGACAAGGTTAGTCAAATACCCTGTATTGCAGAGTGCCTGAGTTAATGATTTCTCTAACTGGGGTAAAAGGCACATGACACTGCAACACTGCATTTTATCCTATTTTTGCCAACTAGTCAGCTTTTGCACACTGATGACAAAGCTTAATGTTGTATCCCTAGACTATCTAGCACTCATGTATGTATTATGTTCACATTGCTGCGAGGAGCAATACTTTCCCTTGTTGATGGCACTGTGATTTTTCTGATAACCCTGGAAGGAAAAAAGAAAAGAGTGATCCAAAGAGACAAGATAGCATGTGGGTAAGGTTTCAGTCAAATTGGATCTCAGAGCTGAGGGCCTCTTTTTTTCATGGTTTTGAAAATTATTTAATGATATGGAAAAACGTGCTTAATATATTTCAGAAAGCAAAATGTATATTTCAGAAAGCAGACATAAACAACATGGTCCCCGTGTATTGTGTGTGTGTGTTTTGTGTCGATAAAGATGATAACAAGGAAGTATTTTCTGCATGTGATGGAATGTACATTCATTGTACATTTTCCCCAAATGTAAAATTTGCCTGTTGCACTTTTACAATCAGAAAATAAAAGTGCCTTTTAAATGAATCCTTGCTTGTGTGTTTGTTTAGAGAGTGTGAGCAGGGGAGAGGGAGAGAGAGAGAAAGAGAGAGAGAGAATATCCCAAGGAAGCTCTGTGCCATCAGTGCAGAGCCCAATGTGGAGCTTAGTCTCGTGAACTGGGAGATTATGACCTGAACCGAGATCAAGAGTTGGATACTTCGCGGACTGAAACACCAGGTGCCCCTAAATGCCTTTTGTATTTTATTTTATTTTATTTTATTTTATTTTATTTTATTTTATTTTATTTTATTTTATTATTTAAATGTTTAATTTTTGGGAAAGAGTGAGCAGGAGAGGGGCAGAGAGAGAGAGGGGGACAGGGGATCCGAAAAGGGCTCTGCACGGACAGCAGAGAGCCATATGTGGGGCTTAAACTCACAAACTGCCAGATCATGATCGGAATCAAAGTCGGACACTTAGCCGACTGAGCCACCCAGGCACCTCTAAATGCCTTTTTTATAAGGGAAAGATAATTATATCTACCTGTCTTGGATTTTTAAATTTTTACATTATGAAATAATTTACATACAGTAAAAGTCATTTTTAGTATATAATGTCACGAGGGCTTGGGGAGGGTTTCACTGTTATTGTTTGGTTTTCTTTTGAGATCATTCTGAAGAGGTGAAAAATGTTTTTATTTTGTTGAGGCAAAGTTGTTATTATAGAGTGATGGCCTTCAAAGTCTAGTTTTCATTGATCACTATACATTTGACTCTTGTCACTCTTTTTGCTTTTCCCTACCCCCCTTCCCTTCCTGTAACCATCTATCTGTTTTTATGTCTATGAATTTGTTTTTGTTTTGTTTTTTCATTTGTTTTGTTTCTGTTTTTAGATTCCCATGTATAAGTGAAATCATACTGATTTTTTGTCTTTCTCCTGATTTATTTTACTTAATGTATTATTGTCAAGGTCCATCCATGTTGTTTCATATGGCAAATTTTCATTCTTTTTAATGGCTGCGTAGTATTCCACTATATATACGTACCACATTGTCTTGGTTCATTCATCCAACAGTGGGCATTTAGGTGGTTTTCATAGATTGGCTTGTAAATAACACTGCTGTGAATATTGGAGTGCACATATCTTTTTCAATTAGTATTTTTGTATTCTTTGCACAAATATCCAAAAGTGGAATAGTTGTATCTTAAGGTAGTTCTTCTACCAAAAAGTTCTATCAACTTTTTGAGAGACCTGTGTTCCATAGTGGTGGCACCAATTTACATTCCCACAAGTTTCCCTTTTTTCTACATCCTTTCTGGCACCTGTTATGTCTTGTCTTTTTTTCCTTAACCTTTAAAAATTTTCATTTATTTATTTGTTTGTTTATTTATTTTGAGAGAGAGAGAGTGAGCACACACATGAGCAGGGGTAGAGCAGAGAGAGAGGGGGAGAGAGAATCCCAAGCAGGCTCTCTGCTGTCAGTGTGGAGCCCAGCGTGGGCTTCAATTGCACAGAACTATGAGATCATGACCTGAGCCAAAATCAAGAGTCATACACTTAACTGCCTAAGCCACTGAGGCACCCCTATTTCTTGTCTTTTTGATGATAGCCAGTCTAACCAGTGTGACATGATATTGTGGTTTTGATTTGTATTTCCCTAAACTTAGTGATTCTGAGCAACTTTTCATGTGCCTGTTGGCCATGTGATGTCTTCTTTGGAAAAATGGCTAATTTAGATCCCTTGCCCATTTTTTAATTGGGTTGTTGGGCTGTTTTTGTTGCTAACTTGTATGAATTCTTTATACATTTTGGATATTAACCCCTTATTGGATATGCAATTTGCCAATATCTTGTTCCATTCAGTAGGTTGCCTTTTTGTTTTGAAGATGGTTTCCTTTACTATGCAGAAGTTTTTTAGTTTGATGTAGTCCAATTTATTTATTTTTGCTTACCCTCCCTTCACCTTTGGGGTCAAATCCATAAAAATACCAGTAAGACTAATGTCAAGTGGCTCACCATACAGTTTTCTCTTAGGAATTTTATGTTTTCAAATCTTACATTCAAGTCTTTAATCCAATTTGAGTTCGTTTTTGTATGTAGTATAACATAGTGGTCTAGTTTCATTCTTTTCTATGTGAATGTCCAGTTTTCACAGCACCATTTATTGAAGAGACCATCTTTTTTTCCATTGTGTATTTTTGGCTTCTTTATTGTAAATTAATTGTCTGTATATGTGTGGGTTTATTTCTAGGCTCTCAATTCTGTTCCATTGATCTGTGTATCAGTTTTTATGTCACTACCATACTGTTTTGATTACTATAGCGTTGTAATATAGCTTGAAGTCAGAAAGCAGGATACCTCCAGCTTTGTTCTTTTTCCAGATTGCTTTGGCTATTTGGATCTTTTGTGGTTTCATAAAAAGTTTAGAATTATTTGTTCAACTTCTGTGAAAAATGCCATTGGAATTTTGATAGGAATCACATTGAATTATATGGACATTTTAACAATATTCTTCCAATCCATGAGTACAGAATATCTTGCCATTTATTTGTGTCATCTTCAAATTTCTTCATCAGTGTCTCATAATTTTCAGTGTATAGGTCTTTTACCTCCTTGGTTAATTTACTCCTGGGTATTTTATTCTTTTTGATGCAGTTGTAAATGGGAATGTTTTCTTAATTCCTCTTTCTGATAATTTATCGTTAGTGTATAGAAATGCTACTGATTTCTGTAAGTTGATTTTCTCTCCTGCAACTTTACTGAATTTATGTATTAGTTCTCACAGATTTTTGGTGGAGTCTTTAGGGTTTTCTGTATTAGGTATCATGTCATCTGCAAATAATAACAGCTTTACTTATTCCTTTCAAATATAGATGCCTTTTATTTCTTTTTCTTGCCTAATTTCTGTGACTACATCTTCCATTATTGTGTTGAATAAAAGTGACAAGACTAGGATTCTTGTCTTGTTCCTGATCTTAGAGGAAAAGCTTTCAGCTTTTTGCCATGAGCACAATGTTAGCTGTGGGTTTGTCACACGTAGCCTTTATTATGTTGAGGTATGTTTTTCTCTATACCAACTTGGAGGGTTTTATCATAAATGGATGTTGAATTTTGTCAAAGTGCTCCTTCTGCATCTATTGAGATGATCATATGATTTTAATCCTTCATTTTGTCAAGGTAGTATATCATATTGATTGATTTGCAGATGTTGAACCACCCTTAAAATCCCTGGAATAGATCCCTGGAATAAATTTTTATAAATTTATAAAAAAATAAATTTATAAATTCATAAAAAAATAAATTTATAAATTCATAAATAAATTCATAGTATATGAACCTCTAAATGCATTGCTGAATTCAGTTTACCGTTATTTTTGAGGGTTTTTGCATCTATGTTCATTAAAGATTTTAGCCTGTGACTTCTCGTGTGTGTGTGTGTGTGTGTGTGTGTGTGTGTGTGTGTGTGTGTGTGGTGTCCTTGTCTGTTTTTGTTACTTAGCAGGGTAATGCTGGCCTCATAAAATGACTTTGGAAGCATTTCCTTCTCTTCAATTTTTTGAAAGAATTTGAAAATCGTATATATTAAGGCTTTGAATGTTTAGTAGAATTCATCAGTGAAGCTATCTGATCCTAGACTTTTGGTTGTTGGGAGATTTTTATTGCTGAGTTCTATTACTCCTTACTTACTTACTTACTCCTTACTAGTAGTAATCAATCTGTTCAGATTTTCTATTTTTTCATGATTTAGTCTTGAAATACCATATGTTTCCAGGGATTTATCCATTTCTTCTAGGTTGCCCAGTTTGTTGGTGTATAATTATGATAATCCTTTGTATTTCTGTGGAACCAGTTGTAACTTTTCCTCTATCATTTCTGATTTTATTTGAGCCCTCTTGTTTTCTTAGTCTAGCTGAAGTTTTGTCAATTTTGTTTATCTTTTTAAAGAACTAGCTTTTAGTTTCATTGATCTATTTTTTAGTTACCTATTTTATTTATTTTTGCTTTTTACTTCTTTCCTTCTACTAATTTGGGGTTTTGTTTGTCTTTTTCTAGTTCCTTTAAGTGTAAAGGTTAGATTATTTATTTGAGAGTTTCCTTTTTTTCTTGATTTAGGCCTGTGTTGCTATGAACTTCCTCTTGGAACCACTTCTGCTACATCCCACAGATTTTGGTATATTGTATTTCTGTTTTTATTTGTCTCTCTCTTTATTTTTATTTCTTCTTTGATTTCTTCATGTTCAGTAGAATGTTGTTTAATCTCCACATTTTTTGTGGTTTTTCCAGCTTTCTTCTTGTAACTAATTTTTAGTTTTATACCATTGTGTTTGGAGAAGATACTTGATCAAATTTCAGACTTCTTCAATTTATTGAGACTTGTTTTGTCATCTAACGTGTGATCTATCATAGAGAATATTCCATTTGTACTTGAGGAAAATGTGTAAA